GTATCTGCCCAGCTGGTACGTTCGCAGAAGCTGGAGACTCAACTGGGATCGTCGCGTGTGCTGAGTGTCCAGCCAATACGTACTCGAAAGAAGGAGCTTCGCAGTGTACTCCATGTGGCGAGAACACGTACAGTAGTCCCGGTGCAGTGGCCTGTGCTGCTCCCCAAGCACTAACACTGAATGCTAGTGCGTCATCGGAATCAGTGATGCTGTCTTCGTCAGCGTCGTCTGATGCCGTGTCTTCGGCGCTTAGTGGTCTGCAGGTGACGTACAATTTGTCACTTCTCGAGGCGCTAGTGTGGGGTAATGAGAGCTGGATTTTGGACGATACGGTGTACGGGAACTCGACGAGCTTGCAGTCTATTAAGCCAGTGGAGTCGTCGATGGCTTTCCAGGCTGACGGCCAGAATTACTGGTTCGCAGGGCTGTTCCGTCCTCTTGGAAGTGGCTGGTTGGAGCAAGTACCTGGTCAGATTGTGGACCAAGAAGTAGACACAACGAAGGAGGTGGCTCATGTGGTTTTCGCTACTATGGTTAACCCTCGTGAAGCTGGCCGATACTTCCAACAGAACAGCGGAGTCTACGGCAACGTCATGTGCTCCGCTCCATCGGTATGTCGCTTTTGACCTTGTATATCTCCTTAAAGTATTTATCTAATCTGTGGTGTGTTGCAGCAATGGAAACTCGTGAATGGTGGCAGTCATATGGATATTTTACCGCTGGAGTCTGGTGCTGGTGTCAAGGTATCCTTCACTAACGGATCCCCTTGTGTTAACGGCAAGACGATGTCCACTACATTCAATTTTGAATGTGATCTTAACAGCGGTAAGCATGATGAACCCATCAATTAAAGTTCGTAAAGTGATGCTAACGAGTTATTTGCAGGTACTACAAGCAAGCCAACGTCTGCGTCACAGGATGATGACGACAAGTGCAACTGGAATATCGTCTGGAAGACTGCGTACGCGTGTCCTGTGTGCGACGACGACTACTTCAATGAGCTTCGTTCGACTTGCAATGGCGGCGAGCAGTTGGTCTCGTATGCTCGCAAGTTGGCGTGCTACGGAGGCTCCGAGTCGGAGAGTACGGAGACCATTTCGACGTGCACGGAGAGCGCCGTGGTTCTCGATACCAAGGCGCTTTACTCTGTTTATGTGGCGATTGTTGTGATCGGCTTTGTGGTGTTGCTACTGATGATGGGGATCCTCATTATTCACCGCAAGTACCGCAATGCATACAACGATTATCTCTATTTGAAGGGCAAGTTACCGACGGAGGAGAAGGTGCAGGACGATGGGTCCAAGGAGACGACGTTCGAGTTCACTCCGCGATCCAATGCGCTTCACAGTTCTCCTTTGGGAGACGCGTCTTCACCCGCTATGTCCGATCAGGAAGAGAAGACCGCCGATGTCGATCGAGCTGAAGTCAAGCTGCACGGCATTCAAAGCGTCTAGAGCGACCAGGAAAATGTACGCCTTGCGCTGTTGTGAATCTTTGTTCCCAATGTTTTTTTTCTTTGTGCCATCATATTTTTTTTACGATTTTGCTGAGATTTATCATTCTGGGGATATGTTGGAGATTTCTATGTTAACCGCTCACGTTTCCCCGTGTCTTCCATGACTTGGATCTCCAGCGTCGTTGGGTCTAACTTTCGTCATTGTTCAACTGGATTCCAAGTACTCAAGTCTACTTCCACAGCTCCCTGCATCTCCATCCTACAACATGAAGATGTCAATTGCTTCAATCGCGGTAGCGCTTGTCTACTTCCTGTCCTTCGTGGCGGCAGACCACCTAATGACATCGGACCAAACCATGGGCATGACGTCCGGACTGCGCGGAGGTGGCGCTATTGTCCCTGTCGGAGTCTTCATCAACCGGATCGATGCCAAGAACAACAAGATCGTCGTCACCGATAGCAAGATTCGCCTATCAAAGAGCGACCGTGTGCAGCTCGCGGATACTCTGAAGGAGATGATGGCGAACAACCAAGAGGCTGGTGCTGCAGGCGATATGAGTACCGAGGATATCTTCGGTCTGTTAACGCGCGTCGCAACGACTCCGGGAGTTCTCTCGAATGCTGCGGGCATCATTTCGGCGGCGAGAAGCGGTGACACGAGTGCGTTGGCTGGTCACGTGGTAGGTCTGCTGGGTGCGGCAGTCCCGGCTGCAATCTCTACTCCTGCGCCAATCCCTGCTGTAGTGGACACTCCGGCTCCTGTTGCTGCTCCGATGACTCCGTATGCCGCTCCTGCTGCTGCGCCGATGGCTCCCGCTGATGTTCCTACCGTTATGACTCCCACTTCTTCCTAGGAGGAGGATGTGGATCCTGGTACCTCGTTGCTGGCGATGCGGTAACACTAACAGTCAATTGGTACTGTTTCGTTTCTCTCCAAATTTCGTGGAGCTGTCGTGAAGTTCAAGACAGGTTAGTCTTAGTTTCACCATTTATGAGTTTTCAATATTCAGCAAAAGGTTTCGACGTCAGTCCTTTTGAATTACTTAAGTAAATTGCTTGCTTCGACCCCAATGCGTACATCCACTCCATAATCGTGAGTGATTCGTATTGATGGAATTTACAAACCAGTGTGATAAACGATAGCTTGTAAATTCCATCCACTTGAACATATTAAAAGTAGATTTCAGCGCACCCCACAAGTTCGGCCGCATATATCGAGCTGACTTCCAATCTTATCTAAGGAGTTCGCTTTCGCGCTGATCTCGAAGACTTCTCGGAGTTAGATCACAGAATATTTCCCGATATCAAAGCGAGTTCGAACATTATTGTTGAGCAGATCTTCATTGTTCATTTGGACTTCAAGTACCCAGGTCGACTTCCACCCAAGCTTCTCTCCCTCCAATTTACCACGAAGATGTAGATTGCTTCGATCGCGGTAGTGTTTGTCAAATGGCATGATTGGCTTTGACACCGATGTTGCGTCCATTTGAGTCCCATAGTTGTGGTTTACTAGTCACGTTGCTGTTAACTTTCGTTTTTGTAGGTATCGATCTTTGCTCTATGTATTCTGATGACTCTGCTGTCGTAGGATGGTGCACTTTGTAATGAAAGTCGTGCACGATTCGCTGTCGTTGCTTTATCCAGTCGCATAGAATAGTCATGTCATCGTAGGCGCTCTGGGTCACACAAAGCGTGTCGCCGTCATTTATTTGCTCGAGACTTGAAATTCGCTGCAGGCGCTTCACGTGACGTTTTCTCTTATTGTAGTATTCAGAAGCAGGCATGACAACTTCAGTCACTTCCCGATAGGCACTTACGACTTCGTTGATATCAAATCTTGATCGGACGCGTTGCTCTAACTGATCGAGCGAACTAAACGTGATATAGGTTGTCCCGAGCCGACGAAGGCCGTACAGATAGACGGCACAGAGATACCTGGGCTCGTATTTATTTGGAGTCACAATATGAACACAACTTGGCTTAAATTTGTCCAGGTAGGTTGCGGATTTAGCAGAGACTTTCTCTTTGGCCTCATTTCGCTTCGAGCGTCGATACGATATCGGCTTTGACCCTTTCAAGCGAGCAGCCTCAACGAGGCGCTGGGCATCTTGAATCTGCTTGACTCTCCAACGCGCAAACTTTTGGCGCATGATGTGCTGATGGAAACTCGAACTCTGAAATCTCGACCAAGGGATTTTAACTCCAGCAACACGCTCTTGCTCTGTTTGTGTCTCCCGCTGCTTTTGAAGCATTAGCCTTTTGACGTGCAATGCTATCGCTTTCTTGGTTCGCTCACTGAAAACCTCGTTTTTGCGAGTTAAATGTGCTGCATTGGCATCGAGAACAGAAACACTTTCAACATTAGTGTCGTCTCCAGCGGTGGCTGCGACTGGAGTTTCGATGTTGGTGTTTTCTTCGTTGTCTGTATACCTCTGCTTTTTCCGCTCAGCGACGTTCGCTTCGTCAGCCTTGCCAGCATCACCATTTTCAACATTAATTCGGGTAGCTACGCTGGCTGTGACTGGTGCGTTGCCGGTGTTAGTACTCTCTTCGTTGTCAGTGCAGCTCGATTTTGATTCTTCACCAGGCAACTTAACAGTATCTACACTTAATGGTGCTGAGAACGTTTCAACGCCAGTAGCATTTCCCTCGGTACTAGGCACCCTCAGACTCGCAAGAAGGTTGTTCAACTCTCCTGCAAAACTGTCAAGCTCGTGTGTAAGTCCCGCTTCAAGGTGATAAGGATCATTTGGCTCCTCTCCCTACATGCATCCACATTGTCAAGAACGTGGCTGCCCTATCAGCAGAGCAAAGTCAGTGGGCTACCTGTAGCTGTTGCTGATTGTTTTCTTGATTTGAGAATGCAGCGGTACTGCTTAGCGCTCCGCCGTCTACTTTCTCATCCGCTCTAACATCCCACGCACAGCTTAGCATGCACCTGGAGCATACATTCAGTGTCCATTCAAAAGAACGCACCCGTTCCCCTCAGCCTCAAGGCGAGCGAGCAAAGCATAACATTCACTCGTCATTTCTTCTAATGAAGCAAGCGTGTCCTGTTCTACGCCGACGTCCTCATCTGGATCTTCCCTTTCGTCCTGAAGCTGGTGCAACTCCAACCCGAAGCACAACCCACCCAACTCTCGCGTACAGCTCTCCAAAGCGCTCACTAAATCCTCCCCTGAACGTAAAGCCCTGGTCGGCATCACGCCCAGTCCTGCTCGGTGTCCGTTGTTGAATCCAAAATTAATATTGTAAGTATCGGGATACTTATTCCTTTCCGATCACCTCATACTTATTTGAAAAAAGTAGATTTCAATAATGAGACAAGACGTCAAGAGTCAAAAACTAGTGGATGCCTGTAATTGAAGGTGTTTCAAACTCAAGAAAAATGATCCCAATAATTTTAATGAGGCAAGACTTACATACTTAAATCCATATCGATGGAGCCGAAGGATTGCATTGAAGACTACTTTCCATCCGATGGCGTCTACGATTCTGAAACGGTGCATTTTGTTGTGAAGGCAGCGCCGTCATTCTCTCACGAAATACTTCCCGATCGACCAACTCAGAGCCGCTCACATGAAGAATTTGAAGCAGGCAAGTATGCTACGAAGCTGTCAGGGGCGAGCTCAATCTGGTTATAGCTTGGTCGATTCCTCGCATCAAGTTCTCTCACAAGCACTGCTTTCACCAAGCGCAGTGGCTCGAATACTCACGTTTTCCCGATTCAACTCGTGTGCGCGTATACATCGGCGACAAGGAGACATGGCGTGACCTCAACATTGTGTGCAACTGTTCGAGTCTGGAGATAATATCGTGCTCCGCCACACGACAATTAGCTGCAGCAGGAGTTTAGTGAAGACAACGGTCTGTTGAAGTTGCAGAGTCTCACTGGGACGAGTGCAGCACGGGCAATACTACAGTTAGTATAGGACAGCTTAACCAGGGGGGGGGGGGGTTGTCACCGACTGAGGTTTTCCCTACCTCAATGCCAAACTTGCTGAGTGGAGAACAAGTGTCATCTTCTGCTTAACGTCGGTGAGGAAGCTCTTTGGTAATCGCTCCGCCCTCCGCCGTGCTTGGCGTGCAACAAGTGCGTCGAGCTGGCTGAAGGAGAGGTTGCCTTCCGCTTTGTGGTAGGGTTCAACGTATCGGCAGACTGGCGCACGCTGCGGCTATTTATTGGAACGTAGCGTGGGATGCCAAACGAATCAGTGGACTGGCTCACGCTATCGGAACGTAGTGTGAGAGAAACAAAACAAAACTATTTCAAGCTCCTGCTTGCTCTTGCTAATACTTGCTTTCATTTGTCTTCAGCCAAGATTTAATCTTCTTCACATAGTTTGTCTCGATTAGGGATGGGTACTTGAGTTTCTTCTTGCTGATCTTTTTAACCAACTTGCTGTACGACTATCGTGCTTTAGCTGACATTCGCGTCTGTGTGGATTTCTCTGCAGTCGTGACCACGTCTGCACCGACAAAGTACTCTTCTTTATTGGTTCTCTTTGCTCGCTACGATCGGGTGCTCAGCATGGTCCGAGGTCATCAAGTGGTCGGCTGTCACGAGCAAGTAAGCAAGCGCTACCGCGATCGAAGGCATAGGCATCTTCATTAAAGATTCCTTACGAGGTACTGAAAGCGAGGAGCTTGTGTGTTGACAGTCGGTCCGAATTAATATTTGCGCAAATATTAATTTCACTTATAATATTGCAGAAATGCGCCCATTCAGTATTTAAGGTTACCATTCTAAAGACTTTAGTGTGTGTGTGTGTGTGTTTTTTTTTGTCATTTCATATTATTACTAAAGTTTAGTTCAGAGAAAAAATATCGACCATGAAGCTGCTGCTAGACAGTAACTTCAGGAAGCTCCACCTCAATAGTCTCGGGGCCAGCGGAAGGTTGTATTGTGTCTTCCTTCGTGTCAGTAAGTGGTGCATTCGGCACAGACCCATCGGAAATACCAGACTGTCGACGAGCCGAACTGCGTCTTTGAGTGAATGAAACTCTTGTCGTTTTCCCATTGAGGGTCGGGAGCTTCATCATCTTTACGAAATCGTTATAGTTGACTTGTCCGTCTTTGTCAGCGTCCGCCTTGTTGATCATCTCTTGGCACTCCGAAACGTCAAAGTGTTGACCCAGAAGAGCCTTGAGATCGTCTTTTGTGATGGCTCCACGATGAGACCGATCGAGGACGTAGAAAGTGGATAGCAGCAGCTCTTCATCCGCTGCGTCTTCAGGGCTGATAGTGGCAGCGACGAACTCGAGGAGATTGATACCGTTCTCATGCTGTTGATCAAGGCTTGAAACAATAGTAAAAAAAAAAAAAAACTTAGAAAAAAATACTCCTAATAGAATTGACGACGTACGCTGCGAAAATCTTCTCCAAGTCGAGCTGGAAGGGGATGAGAGCTGGCGACAGACACAACTCTTGGAGCTTTAGTTGGCCGTTGTGGGCGACGTTGAGCTCGTTGTACACCGCTGCGTGGAGAGCGACCTGTTCTGACGACATACAGAACGCCATAGCTACAAGTGCGGCTCGCTGGAACGGAGTGTAGTTACAAAAAGCTTTCAGACGTGGTACAAACTCGTCGTACCTATCAACAACAGGAAGACTTGTTTGAAAACGACTACGAACCAGTGTGATATGCTCAAAACGTACACTTCCGGTGGTATCGCTTGTTCTGTCGACCTGATCCACGGATGTTGAAGCACTTGCGCAGCAGTGAAACGATCTTCTGGTATCGTCTGTAGTGATACACTCGAGCATTAGAATATGACAATGTCCCAAAAATTCTCGAAAAGCAACTAAACGTACGTGCAGGAGTTTACGGAGCAGTGCCTTCGCTTCAGGAGAAATGGTATCCCACACTTTACCATTGTATTTTACCTCGCCAGCAAAGATACTCTCGACAAGTTCGTCATCAGTATGTCCATAAAATGGAGCCTTGTTGCTTAGAAGCATATACTTAAATCGACAAAATAGTTAATGTAGTACTGTCAGCATAACGTTATAGTTGGTACAGCCACTCGATGCGCACCATAATGACACCCAAGCTCCACATATCGCACGTTTCCTTGTAGTTCCCCTCAAGAACTTCAGGCTACAAAAGATCTCCAGTCAAACTGAACTATTAAGTTCGTGCTAGACATCATCCATACGTACAGCCATGTAGACGACTGAGCCGAGAACCTTGCGCATACTAGCACCCGATTTAAAAAGAGTGCTTGCGCCGAAACTGAAAGCGCAGGGAAGACACGTAAATATAAAGCTCAAGGTAAGTCTGGTGTACGTACTCGCAAAGTTTGATATGGCCCCCATTATCCAACGTTTCGACAAGAATGTTCTCCAGCTTCAGATCGCGGTGCTATTTGGCATAGGAGTGGTAAAAGCAAAAGGGTCGAAACAAAAACGAGCACGATATTCTAAACGTACACAAATATTACGCGAGTGCAAGTATTGGATGACGGATGCCAAGTTTCGAATGATATCCTTGGCTTCGTCCTCAGGGAATTCCTTGTTGCGAGTCTTTACTCGGTCGAGCAGCTACACAACAAGGCAGGAAAATGAGTTGAGAACTGAGAGTAGACAATCATAAAAATTCTTACTGTTCCACCAGAACTAAACTCCATGATGATGTAAAAGTGGTGGTCATCCTCGAACGTCTCGAGCATGCGGACAATGTTGGGGTGGTGCAAAACACGGAGGATTCCCATCTCCTTCTCGAACTCATGGCGTTTGCTTCCTGACTCGAAGCGCACAGTTTTCATCGCGTAGTGTCTGTGTGTTTTGAGGTGCTCGACCTTCTCGACGACTCCAAAGGCGCCCCTGCCCAGCTCGCCCAGACTGCGATACACATCCGTCACTGGCGTCTTGTGGTGCATACAGAGTTTAGTCTGGAACAGGTTCGGACGGATCACATCGATGGATTGCGTGCAGCCCATGTTTGTCTTTATATTGGCGGAACTTTCGAGGTTGGTTGGTTGCTAAACTCGACAAAAACGTGCTGATGAACCGCAAATAATCAAGAATAGAGACATGCTTGTCTTCCTTCATCCACATTTCAGTGGTGTGTGCATAGATTGATTTTAAAAATAGGAGACTTTAGTCAGGCTAAACCTTTTTTTTTTTTTTTACTTCTTCTTAGTACCTCACCGGTAAGTTCACAATGTCTTAAGTTTTTGCAAAAGCTTGTCGAGCTGATGTTGCTGTGCATTTTCGACGTGCTGAAGAGATGTTGGCAATGATACTCCTCTTGTTGTCAAAGATTCACTTTCAGCGGGTTTTATTGTTGGTAAAAGCACCGCGTTTGCAGTGCATCGGGAAAATGGAGTGCATTGTTCCCATGTGCGAAGGTTTGAGCACACTTCTTCAATTTGCGTCACGATCTCGATAAACGCAGCTTTGTCAATCTCCTCCGAATGTGGACAAGCATAAAATCTGAATAATGCTAGAAGTACATCTTCGTATTGATAGCAAAACATCGGACCATAGAGCATACTCAGAGCACTGCAAAAACCTCCTTGGAAATCCATGACGTGCTTTCGGATACGGTTGGATGGCTTATAAATGCGCAATCCCCACTTTTGGAAGGCTTCTTCTACTGCAATTAAACCAGTAGCCGGCGCCACCACTCGATTGTATTTCATTATAGTAGCATTTCCTTGTGTGAGTGGGAAAAGATTCCACTGGTTTCGTAGACGCCGACATATTTGGTGAAAGTACCGATTAACCAACCGCAGATGCAGTGCATCATAGTATGTTATACAACTTACAATTTGAACAGCACAGTGCACTGGAATCGGCTCAAAGCGTCCAACTCGCACTCGTTTATCTGGAGGAAAAACCGCAAGAATACAGACAGCCTGGACGTCCCGTCGAAGGTCAGCTTTTAAGTTTTCTTCAGGCAGTGTCGTAGCGATTGTCGCCAACATACTAGAACAAATTGCGATTGCGGCTGGACTGTTGTTTTCAAAAATATGAGGTGCACTGACAACGTGAAGACAGACCCCAGCGTCCGAGAACACCAGAAGTTCGCGTCTTCCCGCATCACAAACGATGATCTCTCCATGAAGTCCCACAACTACGTCACATGGTGCGCCGAATACAGAGTAAATTACCGGCCGAAGCTCATCATTCGTAGCCGTTATTGTTATTGTTTCAGGTTCCGGGGTGGGTCCACGATGGCTGCCCCACTCCAATAAAGGCCGTCCTCTATCCGACAGTCGCTGGATACGTTTATTACCTTCATCACACACGAAATATTCACCTTTTCCATTGACGGTTAGAGCACACGGGTTGATGAACTGTCCAATTTTCCACCCGTATCGACCAATCACCTGCACAACGTTTCCAGTCGCACTAACAACTTGAATACGGTGATTCCCAGAGTCCACAATGGCTACATGACCTCGAGGAGTAAACTTTAAATCACTGATGCCTTTAAATTCCCCTCGAGCAGAACCTGGACGTCCGAAACCGTGCTCTAACTCACCACTTCCGGAGAATATCTGGACACGATTTAACTTCCCGTCAGCTATTGCGATTTCGCCACGAAGATTTACAGCTACCGCGACGGGGTGATTAAACTGACCAGGCGATGACCCATGATTCCCAATAGCCATAGCAGGGTTGTTATGGTTGAATACCATTGTCATCTCTCCAGTTTCATCTGCACAGAAGCTTACAGCGTATGAATAGACACAACAATGCTCAATATCACACACTAACAGACATCGGGTCAAGGGATTCCAACAGATTCCCCGATATGAAGGCAAACGGCAGTCCTTCCCACCGAACAGATCCTTCTTCACGACAGTACCGTGTTTATCAAGGACGCTATAGTCTCGTCCACAGATCGGCGTGACTTTCAACTCCATCTCGGCCGTTAAAATCGAGAATATGTAAGTTATTTATGATCCGGTTACTTGCTCCCGTCCGTCGGAGTGTAGTTGAACGCTATCGTAAGTTCGTGTAGATTTATCAGCACCTTGTCTGGATATGAATCCGAGATACAATGAGAGTACGAGAATACAGATCGCACAAAGTACCATACTGACGAGGAAAAGCAGTGGCCATGATGCCAGTATACTAGGCAAGAACGGCAAAACCATTCGCGCTACCGACGCAGAAGCGCCAAACACTCCCATTAGAAAACCTTGAGGTCGTGACCCGAGCACTTTGGAGAACGCAGACACCACCACAGCCGAAGTTAACGGACAACCGACACTCCAAACGAAGACTTCAGCTACCACAAATACGTTGAACTGTAGCTGAGAATGGTCTTCATCGATGTCATCACTTCGCTCGTTGTTCACGTGCATGCCTGTGCATAATGTCAACAGAATTGTGTTGCCAACGAGCAGCATGGAGAAGCCAAAGAGCAAATAACTCACGTCGGATACTTTCTTGCGTAGTATCTGTACGGAGCCATAAGAAAACAATCCAAGCAGACCAACGACTAGGTAGAACGTTGATGCATCCTGTGACGCCTCAACGGAGTCCTGTTCGGCTGTAGTATTTCGGTTCGTCATTTCCAGGAAGAGCGGTACGTTTACGGTCTCGAAAATTGAGAGGATCCCACGAGCGATGAAATTCAAGAAGATAAACACCAGCATCCCCACTGTCACTGCACGATCGGAGAGAATAGAAGACTGTACTTCTCTTTGGACAGTTTGAGAGGCTTTCTTCTCAACGTCGCTATCGTGAACGATAACAGTTAGAGTCTTGTCCGTTGGCTTCGTACTACTCGGTGAAGAAGTTGTTGTAGTTTTGACAATTACTGGAGAGTCTGGGGCGTCATCGCGCGATATTGAGTCGTCATAGATGAGGTTGTTGAAGACGATGGTGAACAAGTTAAGAGTAACTAGCAGGAAACCTGGAGCCGTGAAGCGGTTAAACTGGATCACGTCGCCTCCAATCTTAACTTGTGTGTCTCCAACGATACTCCCCAGTCCTGGCGTCAACGCGTAAGCTAGAAAAACTACCGTTGCAAACAGTGTAAAGTACTGTAGTCTCTGATCCACTCGTGTGAGCATCGCGATGTTAGCTCGACAGACACTTCGGTTACCGGCGCCAAAGCCAATAACAAACCGACTTAACGCGAGTACCGTCCTACTGTGTACTGACGGACTGTATGGCAGAATGTACAGCAAGTTCCCCACCACTGCGCAGCCTCCAGCCACATTATACAGCACTTTAAACGACGTGCGGTCACAAAGCCATCCGAACAAGAGCGACGAGAAGAATCTTCCAACACTGAAGAGCGCAGTGAGCAGACCGATATCCGTCAGGCCTCCACCAAGCTCCTGGACGTACGTAAACAATGTAGGGAGCACAAGACCTCGCGCTGCTTCGGCTCCAAACTCGGACAAGTGGATCAACACCATGTGCGCATACCACGACCGCACTCGACGGTCAGAATCCGCTGTATCTTCATCCACCACGGCGTTTTCGGAGCGTAATTTCTTCGCTTTAGCAGCAGATTCATCGTTAATCACCTCCGTCGGCGGCGTTATTGCCCCCATGGTGTCCAAATGTAGAGTACCATGGCCTCACGCCATCGACTGCAACGTTTGACACTCGACGACGTAAACTTCAGCCCGAACACGTCAGAAATCCAACTGTTTCTATTTTAATCCAATCAACTAGAATTAATCAAACTTTATCAACCAATCCTATGTCTTGAATAGTCCCCATCGCCTTCCGTATCAACAGGCCCACTCCAGTCATTCATCAACGGACCCGCTCGAGCGCAAAGATGGACTGTACGTCTCCGTCGATGCTGATCGGCGCCAATTGGCCCAAGGAGGTCCTAGACAATCCGCTGTCGCTGGATGGCGACGTTCTGTCGCTCTCGGGTGCAGCCGGCGCGGAATTCAGCCACTTAGACCACCGTAATGGCCAGCGCAACGTCTACAAGTTCGGTGGCACGTCGGTGGGCGGTCCAGCCAGACTCTGCGGCCTTGTACGCATCGTCCGCGAGGAAAGAGACCGCGTCTTGGCCGTCGTAGTGTCTGCTATGGGCCACACGACGGATTACTTATTAGAAGCCGTGGCGTTCGCCGCGAAAGGAGACGCCGACAGCGCGTTGAAAGTCGTAGACAAGATTCAGGCACAGACGCTCATAAACGCGCATGATACACAGAAAGAGCTTGAAGTGGAGGACATTGAGGACATGTCTGAGGTCATTGTGAATCACTTTAAGCCCCTACGTGAGCTTCTGTACGGTATCTGTCTGCTCCAGGAGCAGACAACGGCCGCGACGGATACCGTGCTGTCGTTCGGCGAACGTATCAGCGCAAATATCGTCGCTAAGCTGTTGACTAAAGCGGGGGTTGAGGCCTTCTTCTTGGACGCCAGAGACTGGCTGACTACGGACGATACGCATGGCTGTGCCAAGGTTTTCTTCGACGAGTCCAAGACGAAGCTACAGGAGTTGTCCAAGCACTGGAAGCCTAACACATTACCAGTTATCACGGGGTTCATCGGTAGCACTCGCAGTGGCCGTACGACTACACTAGGACGTAATGGATCGGACTACACGGCCACATTGGTGGGCTCTTCACTTGGCGCTGACTACGTGTTAATTAACACTGATATCTCCGGTGTTATGACGGCTGATCCTAGAATTGTGGACCGTGCCGTGGCGCTCTCTCATTTAAACCACCATGAAGCTCTAGAACTTGCAGTCTACGGCACTCGAATGTTCCACGCACGCACTATGGTGCCGCTTATCAAGGGCGACGTGACCATGCTTATCCGCAACACTATGGACCCCAACGGCCACGGCACGTACATCAGCGGCGTTGGTCGTTCAGGTACACGAGAGACGTGTACGACGTCGCTGGAGAGTCTGGCGATCATCGAAGCACGTACGCGTATTCTACAGGACGGCAGCAATGATCCTCATCAACAGGAGAACATTGGTGCTCGTGTAACCAAAGTCCTCGAAGAACTCAAGATTCCCGTGTGGTTGTCGATCCGTGGAGCTCACGGACAAGCCATCAGTGTCGTGGTGCCCCGTAGTGCCGAGGAAATCGCCTGTGCTGCCATCAACGCTGAGCTGAGCTCGGAGATCGAGTCTCATGAAGTGGATCCGCTTAACTCCGAGTCGCCCGTGACGATGCTGTCTGTTGTAGCTGAGGATTTGTCCAAGATTCCTTACAACCAGACCAAATTCTTTGGAGCTCTCGCAGACGCTGGTATTGAAGTGCTGGCTGTTGGTCAAGGTACAAGTTCGCGGTCACTGAGTTGCGTTATCCGTGGTGTAGACACGAAGGTCGCGGTGCGACGTGTACACGACGCCTTCAACGTCGATTATCTCGTCACCAACGTCGTGCTTCTGGGCTGTAATCACATCACGTTGGGTGTTGTCCGTCAGCTTCAGAAGCAGCAGGAACTGTACCGATACCAGCACAAAGCTCGGGTCAATATCGTGGGTTTCGGCTCCAACTGCTGCGATTTCCTGTACAACCCCAAGGGCTTCACATTCGAAGAGCTTATCACTCGTTTAGAAGACTGCAAGAGCACAACAGCCGTTGTGTCGGCATCTCCCAGTGTATCCAGTGCCTACGCTGGCGCTCCATCATTAGAGCAGCTGGATCAGCTTCAAGACTTAGCTATCCCCATTCTGATCGACTGCTCTGGCCAGGGTAACACTCAAGACCTGTACTCGGCGTGCATTGAGCGCGGTATCCACGTCGTCGCCTCCAATGCACGCTCAGTGTGTCGTCTACCTCCTACCTCGTCACGTGAGAGTGTAGCCACTTCACGCACCAAAACTGGTCGTACATTTTTCATGTACACATCAACGATCGGTGCCAGTCTTCCAGTCATTGATACACTTGGAAACATCTTGCGTACAGGTGACCGTGTTCTCGGTATTGAGACGTCGCTAAGTGGCTCGATGAACTTCGTGGCCAATGAAGTTATGAAGGGCAAGAAACTCTCGGACGCTGTGGGTGAAGTTCTTCGTAAAGGATACTGCGAGCGTGACCCTCGTGAGGACTTCACAGGTACAGATATGGTTGCTAAGATCGTCGTGTTGGCTCGTGCTCTCGGTGTGCACATTAATCCGAGTGCTGTGGAGTTGGAGCCTCTAATTCCCCAGAGTGTTCTGGATACTATCACGTGGTCTAACGACATGGAAGTGGACGATGTTGTCTCCGGATTGAAAGCGTATGATGAAGTTTTCCATGAGAAATACTACGTGCCTGCTGTGGCGGAGAACAAGCGTCTCCACTACGTCGCATCGATCGACCTGTCCAAGTTTCCGTCGATCCAGGCCAAGATCCAGCCCGTTCTTATCAGTGAGGACCACCCAGCCTTTTACACCAAGGACAACGAGATCGCCTTTGGTTTCTCCTCGGTGCAGTACCCCAACCCACTGGTTCTCAAGGGCTCCGGTACCGGTGCCGCTGCTAGCGCCACTGGTGTCCTTCGTGATGTCCTCACTATCCTAAACTCGCTTAATGGCAAGAACGTTCACATCTAGATGGCTCAAGACAGGAGTGCAGTATGATATGCCCACCGACCGACCATGTTGTTAGGAGCGCTCGGTGATAGTAGCTTTCGTATTCCATCCCTATCATTAACCAAAACATGCCCGATTACGTTGCCATGTTGTACTTGCACTCAACAAGTTTGTTTCACGGAAAAGTGTGTAATTGTGGATCCATAATTTTTATACTGATTAGGTTAACATGGATACTGAACACAAGCAAACTTGTACTGTAGAACATGTATAATAGTGGAAACCAAGATTCATTTGACACGGGTGCCACGGTTCAAGAATCTGCTAAGGACTCTCGAGCGCCGCTATAATAGTGTTGATTTGGTTTGAGCGCTCTTGGGCGACTTGTGAGTTGTTTCACCTTTCGAAAGCATGGGCTGTAAATTTTGCGTTTATAGTATAATATGGTGTCAAGTAACTCACGATGACTCCTCATGGAGTTACCAGAGCGCACAGATGGTGCAACCAATTAACTGTAAACCACCACAATTTACAGGTGATCAGGTTGGTTCGTGCTCTCGGTGTGCACATTAAAATTTGGCTGTACCCAGCGTGACCCTGTGTTCGATATGATCGCGTGGTCTAATGATATGGAATTGAGAGGTATTATCTTCAGATTGGAGGTACAAAAAAGTTTTCCGTATGCTGTACTAGCAGTCTCGTATCGTAGATTATGGATTCAAGCTTTAGGCCAAATCTAGCCATTTCAAGCGTGGATGATATTCCTTGGGATTTTTCGGTGCAGAACAACTAGTAATGAATCATGTAAGCTTATTTCGAATATGATTTACCGTCAATTACTACGTTTTTACGAAAAAGAAGTTTTGATTGTTGGGCTGATTAGGAACGCATTCGGGTTGTACCCTGTTTGTAGTTGAGAACCCTACAAGTAGCTTCGGGACAACGTTAGAGTTGATGAATAATCAACAAAAGTTGTAGGTTTGATCTCGTTTACGCCGACGTGGAGGGCATAACAGCAGCAGTGGCAGGCATATCAGCGGCAGGGGCAGGCATAGCAGCAGCCGGGGCGGCCGTAGCGTAAATCGGCATAATTGGGGCCACAGGAGCAACTGGTGCTGGTGCAGGAGTAGAGATTGCAGCCGGGACCGCCGCACCCAACAGACCCACCACATGACCAGCCAACGCACTCGTGTCACCGCTTCTCGCCGCCGAAATGATACCCGCAGCATTGGAGAGAACTCCCGGGGTCGTTGCGACGCGCGACAAAAGACCGAAGATATCCTCGGTACTCATATCGCCTGCAGCACCAGCCTCTTGGCTGTTCGCCATCATCTCCTTCAGCGTGTCCGCGAGCTGCACACGGTCGCTCTTTGATAGGCGAATCTTGCTATCGGTGACGAGGATATTGTTGTTCTTGGCGTCGATCGTGTTGGTGATGACCCCGACAGGGACAACAGCGTCGGCTCCTCGCATTTTGGCTGCCATGCCCTTCATTTGGTTGTCTTGGGCCGAGACCATCATGATATCCGGCTGGTGGTCTGCCGTCACGAAGGACAGCAGGTAGACAAGCACCACCGCGATCGAAGCAATAGACATCTTCATCTTGTAAGGGCAGCAAGAAGCTTGGGTAGAAGTCGACTTGAGTACTTGGAGTCCAAACGAACAATGAGTTTCTGGTGGCCAGCGCCGAAGACCGTGGTTGGACATGAAGTGCATTGCATGAATCGTAGAAAAGTCACAGAAACCTTGTGAGAAGAGTTTAGTAGGATATTTCCTCTCTAAGAAGCTGGCATTTATCTGGTTAAAGTCTAACGACATTCGTCAAGTTCAAGTGCGCCAGTCCTCACGGGCAATTTTAATTCTACCCTGTTGATCCGTTGGTCTTCTGTTGAGGAGCAACTTTCAGCTTGATCAGGAATTGCAATGCTTCCACCCAGTCATTACGTTTCGCTTTCTTGACTTCCGGACTCTCACCGTCTGCAACCTAATCAAACATGTAGCAAAAAACAGTCAAACCTTGAACCTCACCAACTTCTAAAATCTAAACATACCTCAAGATCCAAAGTGCGGTTCTCTTCGTATTCGACCGAGAAGCAATGTGGGTCTCTTTCTGGTTGTTTGGCACGCTCGAACACTCGAGTTTCCTGGCCAATACATATACCGACGATAGAACGCGTGGGTATGGTCGCCTTCGGTACTGTACTGTTCACAAGGCGGTAATGGAGATACTCGAGATCAGTAGAGCACCAAACGAAACGCACATGAGGTTTCCCATAGCGCCCGTACTTGACGAACAAACTCCCATTGCGTAAAAGCTCCATACGTTTCCTGATCAAGTCACTGCCTGACTTTCGAGGATTTCCTGCAGGTGGAGGCACCGGAATCTCTACATCATTCGTTGTTAACGCAGCATTTCGAACTGTAGTCTGCTTGTCATCGAGTGGAGTTTCTTCGGATACGCTCGGGTTGCTATACTCGGATCGCTTGGAAACCTTGCGCCCGCTAGACTCTGATTTTGTCTGCGCACTTTGCAATCGAGCAGCAGACGGACGAACATATTCGTGTGTTTCGGAAGCCTCAGTATCGTTCTCACTGTCACTGACGCTGTCTCGATCTACTCTTGCGGAGGGATGACGCTTTCGAAGAGCTCCAGAGTGCGATTTTGAGCGTGGCATAGTTTCTTTTGGTCCATCCGATTTCTGCGACTCTGTAATTCTCTGGATTTGTTCTTTCAGAAGTTCAGCCTCGCGTTTCTGTTCTCGAAGTCGTTGTTCGAGAGTCTCCACTGTTCGCGTTTGCTTGGTCATGAGTTCTTGTAATTCTGCTGCAGTATTCGACGCAAAGAACGTGTTGTCCTTCAACACTACCAGACACCCGAGCGCTGTAGCCATTCCTAGTTCTCTGATTTCTTGCGCAATTGCATCATACAATAGTCGTGCTTCTTCGAACTCCCCTTCACTGCTTGGTTTGTCGAGCTCGTCGCGTGGTAAATCACCAGTGAGTAGCAATCTCTCCACGATCTCTTCGCACTGCATCCAGTCGATCTTTTTACCAGCTTGATCCGATTTATCACGTGCATTTTTTGCTGCAGTTAAAGCTGCCTGAGTCTCTTCTTGCGCTAAAGTGAGACGTTGTCCCCATTGCTGTTCCTGTTTGGCAAACTGAAGCGTCTGGTCCTTGATGTCCCTTTCAAGTTGTGCTGCTCGTTGCTGTAGCTGGAGGTTTGTTGTCTCAAGCTCAGCGTTATGCTTTTCGACCGACTCCAAGCGCTTTTCGGTGTCCACTTCTGTGTTTACTGCAATGTCCACTGCCACCTCGGAGCACCGTTGCATGAAACGACAAGTCGAAATCGATTCATCGAGGAAATCGTTCTCAGGATTTAGCGTCGCGATGAAGACTGACTTGCAATTGCCACCCAAACTGCCTCGTAATACTGACGTAAGCATGGAGTTGCGGTACGGAACGTGATACGTTCTCGACACTGCGTTCTTTTTGGTTCGTAGCGACAAGATCACCTACGTTCTTCCGTGTTAGAGGATAGATTGTACTGTACTTGTACTTTTCAAATGAAGCAAGTACCTGTTCAAGGTGGTGAAGAGAAAGGTTGATGTGTTTTCCTTCCGATCGCATACGTTGCGTACCATCACGTTTGTAAACGCGTTCTGAACCAGCAAGATCGACTAAATGAAGCTTGGAAGTTACGATCAAGTCAGAATCGGTCGGACGGGACTCGATCATGACGCTGAAAATTGAATGCGAGCGCGAGGAGGCCTGTCAAAAAGAGATTAATCCCCTATCAGCAAATTAATAATCCAGTCTGCTGCTCGCTGGCCAACCTGGTTCATTGGCGTATCGCTTGTGACGCGGTTCATGTTGCCAAGGAAGAGAAGGTTCAGTGCTTCCTCTTCTGAAACGGCCTCGAATACACTACGACACAATTGTAAAGTGAACATTTGCATGAAACATCCAAATTGCGAATTCACTAACCCCAAATTTCGGAAGTGCATATCACCCTCATCATCGTCCATGAGAAGAACTTTCGTCCAGTCCTCTATTGGTCGATCAGTGTGAGACCTACGAATATGAACAATATCAGTGCAAGTTTCCCCCCATAATTTTCTATAAGCTCACCTGTCCAGCAAGTCGTAGACATTTTCGTTGTAGATCTCAAGATAAGAAATGTAGCACGAATAACGCATGTTCGGTCGTTTCTCGAATTCCTCAAAGATAGTGGAGAGTACTCGAGGAATAATGCCGCGATCAGCGTAGTGTTCACCTCCCGTTATCGTGTAGGTCTTGCCTGAGCCAGTCTGGCCATAAGCAAGAATTGTCCCGTTGTAGCCGTCCAATGCACTGTACACGATATCCTAAACGATAACAAACAAGTCAATCAGCCCAGGCTTAGTGCAAGCAAATACTATACACTTACAAGGCAAACGTCGTTGAACACGTGCTCCTGAGAGACGCTGGGATCAAAAACGTCGTTAAAGTGGAAGTCGACGCCGTCACGTTGCTTCAGGTGTATTCGAGACTGATCGTCATCTGGAGGAGGAAACGCAATCACTGTTTTGCAAAATCTGCCATCGTCAACCCTCTCTGTTGTTATGCAAATAAAAACTTAGTTGGGCCATCTATGGTGATGATTTGCCTACAAACGCAAGGTATACCGAGATCAAACTTGGCACAGTCATGTCCGCGACGAGGAGGCCGCAAACGAGCGTAGGTGCCAATGTGCCACTTTACCATGGACTCCAATCACGTAGAGCAAGTTGCGCTCTTCGTCTTTTATACCTGCAGGATTGCCAAAGTCGTTTCCAAGTTGGGACTTTCAAATAACGTGTAATTTTAGTTGTCGAACTTATATTGCACGTTGTTGGGAAGTGAATTAAACACGCTTAAGCTGTTGTGATAATGCTGACAGCTTAATCATCGCCAAGAAGCTTCGACATACATACTAGGGAGCACGGATTTACGCTGAGTAAGGAAGTGAGAGAACGAATGAATTGGCATACTGGAAATTACAACCTATTTACCTGATTAAAAACATCCCCCTAACACTGGATGTGGTTTGCTTTACAAATGGAGATGTCTCGCAGTACTCAGAGTGATACACTCGATGCGAGCACCACAAAATCATCAGCTGTAGCACACACTTTTGTTCTCTTGGTCGTTCATTATAAAACCACGTAACGCAACTTCCTGTTTGCAGCCGTACCTCGCATCGCGGTTATCAGAGACACCACTGACCTTGTCGCTTGATCTCCAGCGGCTACTTGACGCTGAACATAGCTTTGATCGTCAGGAAAGCGGAAATTTCCTGTCGCGAAACTATCAAAAGAATGGAAAACTAGCAAACCAAACTATGAATCCCAACAATAACTACCTGCAAGGTGCAACCTGCCCAGCGGGATACATCAGTACACTTCACGCGTCTCCAACGAATGTAGTCGCTCCAGAACCGAAAACGCTTAGCCTCTTCCTAGCCTTCTGCTCTTCACTTCAACTTCCACGAGATTCCGACTATATTCACTTTTCATTGGCTATAATGTGTTTCTGCCAATCAAACAACCTTCACTCACCATTCCGCCGATGGACAGTCTCAATCACCAGAAAACGAAGTCAAAACTCCAAGTCAGTCTTGAATCTACCTCCATCGCGTCATAGTGACCATGTCGACAAGCTCACCATTCGTCGTACACCACGGTTCTTGCCATTGCAAGGCGGTGCAGTTCGATTTCGATGCGCCGAGCGACTTGGTGCAGACGAAATGCAACTGTTCCATCTGCACCATGAAGCAGAACGCCCACGCTATCGTTCCCAAATCCCGTTTCCGCCTGCTACAGGGCGAGGATATGCTGACGCAATACACGTTCAAAACTCACCAGGCCAAGCACCTATTCTGCAAAAAGTGTGGCGTACAGGCCTTCTACATCCCGCGCAGCAACCCAGACGGATACGCGATCACTGTCGCTTGCGTGGATCCGGCTACGATCACGAGCGTCGTCACCAACACCTTCGACGGGCAGAACTGGGAGACGTCGTTCGAGGCCTCCAACATAGCCAGCTACTCCAAGGAATAGACTGCGTGAATAGTCAAGTACTAGGCAGAATAATAAATTTTGCGGATTGTCATCTTTATATTGATTCAGGTGCCAATGTGAGTTCTCGATGTGAGGCTAAAGCCATTTTGTCTTTATCGTCAGAGGGAAATGGTGTCTGCGCGAGCAGGGATTCTAACGGTGTCGGGGGTAAAGCTGAAGTACGATGCCCCGAGTCGAACGTGCGTGACGTTCTCGCACTGCAGTGGATGGGGGGAAGCGAGCAAGCTGCTGTACGCTCATGTGCCGTCTGGTCAGAGTATTGTCTTCTTCGCGGAGGAGGACTGCGCTGGAGACCCAGTATTCACTGGCGATGTTGGGAAGACATTCGGGAATGAGATCGTGAAAGGTGACAAAGCGATCGCGCGGTCGTTCATATTGGCCAAATACACACACTACCCTGTGAAAGGGATCATTAGCGAGTGTCGTGGTGAGAGTGCGTTGGTTTCGAATGCTTCGGAAGACAACAATAGCACGGCGTGGCTGTATTCGTCAAGTTGGGGGAGCTCTCAGGACGGTAATCTATCGCTCAATTGGTTTGGACCACTCGAGAGCGACGAGGTCTCGGTTGGAGATATTTGAGCTTGTGCAAATTCTTAGATCGGTATTAAAAAAAAATATAAATACTTCACATTTATAATCCTGTAATCCTGGTAGATTACATTCATCTTAATCTTAAAAACAAAAAAAACAAATTGGTGTTTGACGTACATCATGTGGACGTTAAATGTCGTTTCAGAAGAGAAAAATTTCTCATAAGTGGTGAACAAAATTGCTCTTTCATTTTGATATTTGCAGAGAATCCAAACTACAACGAGAAGGACCTCAAGATCATGGAGGCCACGTCGCCCAATGCTCAGACACCGTACCGTGATCCGTCGTCCGTGATACTTAACGACAGCATTGGTGTCAAGGAAATGAAAGAGAGCGAAAGTCACGATGTTCTTCTGGGACCGGACGACAAACCACTCAAAAAGTTTCTGTGGTGGCACATGACCAAAAAGCAAAGGATTCTCGTCATCCTCGGACTGATCCTGTTGTTGCTGGTCGTTCTACTTCTCATTACGTGGTTCGCCATTATCCCGGCCGTGATCCGACACTATGCCAAGAGCGTGCAGATGAACCTCAACTACATGGACATCGTGAAGATCCCGGACAACAGGACCCTCAACGTTGATATTAATTTGAACATCCAGCACGACGTGGGCATTGCCGCCACCACAGATAATACAACGGTCTCGTTACTCTTCGGTGGTGCTGTATTCGCGACACTGCCATTCCCTGGACTTGATATCAAGACTGGATTACAGGACTACAACATCACTATCGTCACCGACATGCCCCTTACGGACCTCAACGCGTTCAACGCCATGTCCGTCGCTCTTATGAACGAAGCTGAAATCATACTAAAAGCCTCTGCTTCGCTAGATATTCACGCATTGGGTATGTCTTTCGACGTCGATGACTTCAACCGTGACCTGCCTCTCGAGGGCTTCACAGGCTTCACTGATCCGGAGCCCGTGATCGAGAATATGGAGCTCACCACGTGCACATCGTCAGAGTATCTGGTCAACATTAACGTGACACTGGATAACACGGCTCGAGTAGGACTGGATGGCATCGGTGTGCTCAACATGAGTCTGTACTACGGTCAGCAGTATTTGGGCTACGCGCTTTCGCAAAAGCCTGAGTTGGGCATTCCTCGTGGCGTCAGTGAACAGTCCTTCGTCATCACGATAGATGCTGAAGAAGTCTCTATTTCTTCCATGGTGCTGTCGGCTTTGGCTGGCAGCACGCAGTTCTACATTGTGGGGAACAACCCGTACGTCACGACGCACGGTCAGTTCTTGGAAGCGCTGAGCAATGTGAACATGAGTGTTCCATCAAGCAGTGGGTCACTCACAGAAATGAATATCGGCTCATCGTGCAGCCTCCTATCGCTGCTAGTCTCGTGATAACTTGTCAGCTGACCTAACACCGAGATATAATGTTTATTGATTTCACCAACGTCGAGACCGCTAAACCTGCGCCGGTCTTGTCTTCCTACGCTTTACTCAGAGACTGAGGCTTTTGGTAGAGTTGGGAGTCAGTTCATAGATAAGGTTCCGTCACTGCTCTTCCAACTCGAAGACGAGACCAGTTCGTGAGCTGTGCACTTTCACACATGTAGAACATGCCGTTTGTGTGGAGTAGCGCGAGGTTTCCATCTCCTTCTTCTCCGTTTCTAGTTATTTTTTTTCTATGATGAGCGCTTTACTTTGTCTCTAGTGTACACGAACCATCATTGTACGAAAACCCCAGTCAAAACCTTATAAAATATATGTATTAGCTGTTCACACCACTCACATCCAAAGCAAAATGCGTACACTTTTCCTCCGCACACAGCCTCCGCCTCCACACTCCTCTGTACGCCTGAATATACAAGCTGGCGTCTTACCTCTCCGGGCCACCCCACATGTACTTGTAGATGGACGAGGCTCCGCTGGTCAGTGAGCTCGCTACGGTAGAAACAGTAGCTTCGACAGCCTCCACGCCAATCTTGACGGATGACCCCACCGACGTCATGCCTTTCGACACCGTCTTCTCGTTCGAATGTGCGTGGACGAAATCGCTGAGCTTCATACCAATCCGTTCATTCAGTTTGCCTTCCATCCGCAGCATCAACGCTGTAGCAGCCTCGTCATCTGACTGACCAGGCAGGAAACGTTCGATAACAAACGCTTCGAGGTCGCTCTGAGTGTAATTCACGCCGAAATCCGTGATCTCCGGCAAGGCCTTGACCACCAGCGTCAACATAATCATGAACAGACTCACATGTCGTCTCAAACAGTTAAACGCGATGACGCAGAGCTGTTTAAACTGCTCAAATTGTGGCGTCTGTGTGCCTCCAAGAGCTTCAATCATGTAATGATCCAGACGCATCGGAGGCTGCAAAGGCTTGGGATCTTTGCCCAAAATAAAGCCGTAGTCGATATGGAACAGAATGCCATCCTTCGTCAGCATCACATTGTCTGCGTGTCGATCTCCTACGCCCAATAGGAAGGTAATCACAGTATACGCCGCCAGACTCTCACGAAATGACGAAGAGATGTCGCTTAGCGTACGATGGCCATTGTAGTGATGCAAGAAGTTCATGATCGTGCTGTGGTCACGAATGATGGAATACAATGTGTGTGCGTTCTCCACGATCTCGATAAGCCCGTCAAAGCTGCTCGTCGGGAGCACACGGTACGTCACCAACGGGATATCTAGTCGGGTCTCTTGCTTCAGTATCAGATACATGACGTTGATGATGTTCTGCACGATCGAGTCCTTCCGCAGATCGTCTCGCTTGTACATGAGTCGATAGTGCGGCAGCTTTTGAGTGCGACGACTCCACGTGTTTCGTTGTGACTCTGTACTGGCATCTGCAGTGTCTTCAGCTTCTTCGTCGCGATCGACGCCCGTGCACGTGATGATCATGGGTGCCTCCGCGCTTCGCTTCACTTCAATCTTCTGGTAATTAATCCCACTGACCTTGACCTGCGGGTCCACGGGAAGTCGCAGAAGCCGCCATTCCTGTTCATCGTTAGCCGGTGTCTGGTCTCCTGCTTTCCTTTCATCAGTTGATGAACCAAGCGACGACTTCTTGATCGACGCTTCCAGAATTCGACGGACATCATCGACAGGAATACGCGGCGGGATCTTCCACATTAAGTCCACTAGCTCCTGCCCTCGTAGCAGTTGTTCTGCAATGTCATCACTGGCAAACTTTCGGGACTCCACTAGACTCCCATTCGACGACTTGTCCTTGAACTGCGCCAGAGTCAGCAGTAGCCGCTGCTTCATGCCGTCGAACTTACGTCGACAACTCGGGTCCTCCGCCATGACTGTAAGTCCCCAATACAAATCGTAGCAGAAGCGAATGTCACACTGAGCTTGACGAAGCAGTGATTGGCCTAGTTTGCTTCCCGCGGCGTTTGTTTCAACGCTGAGACTGTGTAGCAGCACCTGTAGATAGCTCCACCACTCGTTCTCTGTCGCAGTCTTGAGCAGAGCATCCACCGCCATCGCACGCAGTCGATGGTTGTGAATAGTTTCGTCCGCTAAGATCTCCAGAGCGTCGACACTGCCAATTTGAGGCTTACAGAGACGCGAGCACATCGTCAGCATGCATTTATGCTTGCGTTCCTGCTGCAGTAACTCCAGCACTTCATCTATCAGCTTCGAGTTCCGTTCATGTCTTCTTCGAGCCGATGCAGGACCTTCAACTTCACTCTCTGTCATATTAGTGACGAGATGCTCCAGTTCATTCTCCTCCGAGAAATCTACTGCTTTAACAAGCTGCAAGAGCCACTTGGTATGTCCACCAAGGAACTTCCGATTGATAATCAGCATCTTCTTCTCTCTCTCCGACAAGCGATGTGTGGGCAGATAATACTGGATCTGGCGGAACATGGAAAGACACATGATCGTCGCGCGATGCCACTTTCGACACACTTGCCCCAGCGTTCGCAGCTCTTGAAGGTTAAACTCGCACAGCTCAAACACCTTGACTGTGTTGTAGTGGTGTCTTCGCTGTTGTAGTGCACACGCACAGTCGTCACAAACACGCTGCATGACGCTGCCATCGGGGACATGCATAGATCTGTGTGAGCTTGAAGCTGTAGTTCCAGTACTTGAAGCGCTTCCCGATCTCGATCTATTGGGCGTAAACTTGCTGATCACGCTGTTTTCCTGCAGCCTCTGTACGTCCTTCAGGAACTTTTCCTGTTGTTCCTCTGGTGTCAACGTTCCAGAGTCCACAAACGACTGCGAGTGTCGAATCGACATGCTGCCATTCATATCCACTCCTGAAGCCGCGTTGGGACTCGAGTAGGACGTCAAGTACCAGCTAATGTTGCCAATCAGATCACTAGCATTCGTTGTCAATGAGTTGTATGCTGGAGCCACAGGTGTCGCCTCGTAGTCTCCTGGAATCACCACACGTTGGCTCGAACACGCCGAGCAGAAGATGCGTCCGCATGCACGACAATGATGTTTGCGGATCAGCAGCGAGAAGACCGTGTGGCACTTGAAACAGGCAAAGACCGCGTCGTCCTGTACCCATGAGGAGAGCCTTCTTGGCTGTACAAATCTGTACATGTCCTGTCCGAGCTGTCCGTCGTCCCCATTGGTCCAGTCTTCGTCGTCCATGCTGCTGCCCATGTGGATAGAGACGCCAGCTCGTACCTCCTCCTCACTCTCTTCCAGTATATCTTCACTACCTTCGTAGACCGAGTCGAGCATGCCATTGCCATATGCCGGAGGCGCGTTGTCCTCATTTTCGAGGAATGTTGATGGAGTACCCGGAGGTGGAGGCGGGAACCGTCGAACTTGCTGGTTTGC